TTATAGAAGATATCTTTCCTATACTTTTTATTTTAGTATTGTATATTCAGTTTTTCTTGTTAACCTGTTTGGCTTTGAGTATATAGAGGTTTGGTGTAAGCAGTATATGACTCTTATCTTTAATAATTTTATTGTTTTACTGAGTTAATTGTTCAAACCATTTGGGTTTTTTGACTTTTTGTATTTTTGTTATAGTTTGTGCAATATGCATCCAGATAAGTGTTTGTAAGTATATATAGTTTGTGCATTGTTTCATTGCATAGATTTCCAATTTATTGAGTTTTGTTTTAATTTTGTAGACTGATTTGAGTTATTGTAGAGCATGATTTATAGTTGTGCTTTTGAAGACTAGAAGTTTGGACCAAATGTCTGCATGTTTTATTAAGACTTTCATTTAGTATAGACTTTGTATCATTTTTTCTGAAGTTGAGAAGTGTTCTTTCTAACTTAAAGTATATAAATAGTTAGTTAATATAGATGTGTTAGTTGCAGCTGCATTTTGGATCTGTTGTAATCAAATTTTGAATGTAGAGTTGTAGAAGTTATGATGATTAAGTTGGTATATTATTTGAGCAATATGTTGTTGATCCTGTATTTTATTAACTTTCTGAAGGCCATATATTTTGTAATGAAACATTGTGAAGTTTGGAATAGATGTCACTATGCCTGCTTTGTGTTTTGCTATAGTTGTATAGTTATATTTGATTTTGTTACAGATAGTGTTTAGTAGCTTGAAGTTTTGTATATGATAGACAACTCTAGTAAGTATTACTGAGTTGATTATATAGATAGCTTGTTTTTCTGTAATTTTTGCTATTTGAGTTTTTTTAATTGCATCAATTGTTTTTTCTATTATAATTTAATGTATAAGAGTTTATCTTTTCTCTATTGTGAACCAACATTCAAGGAATCTGAATGCTTTTTTTGTTGAGATACTGGTAATTGATATATTGTTGAATGTTATATTGGATGTTATTTTAATTATGTTTGTTGCTAAAACTAATTTTGTTAAGTTGACCTAAATATTGGTTAGATTGTAGAATATAGTTGCAGTAGTTATGATTTCAAATAGTTTTTCTTTTGATATTGTGATCCAGATGGTATTATCCATGTATGCTAATACTGGATGGTTAGTTTTGTAGATAATGCTCTTGTTGTTGAGAATAGATATATTTGCCTTTATTTCATATTCTTTATGTCTTTTAATAATTTTGGTTATTAAAGAGTCATGGTATATATGTCATAGTAGAGAGGTGATTGTCTCTTCTTGGTCTATTCCATCATGAACTGGATATTTTGATGTGTTGCTGTGGTTTGTAATTACAAAATTTATATAGTTTGTAAAAATATTAATTATTAGTTCAATTATATTCTTTGATATTTTTATTTGCTGTAAGGCTTTGCATAGTAGTAGGATGTGAATGGAGTTATAAACTTTTGATATATCTTGTGATAGCAGCCATAGTTCTTGTTTGGAGGCATTTGCACTTTCTATAATATGTATTAAAGTAGATATTGGTATAGCTGTAGAAGTGTTCAGCAAAGCTATATGGTTGCTATTGTTGAGTATAGGATATCTAGTAAGGATATAGTTAAGCCTATTAATAAATATTTTTGTTAAAATTTTTTTAGTATGTTTTATGAGAGTTATAAGTCATATGTTATTTAGTTGTCCTATAAATTTGGGTTTCTTAGAAATAGGATAAATGTTGTCATGCTTTTATGTTTTTGGAATTGTGTTTAGTGTTAAGCATGCATTTAATATTGTGCAGAGTTGCATTAGACCAGTACTACCTGGATGTTTTAGTATCTTATTTGAGATACTATATAATTCAGTTGTTTTACTAGTTGGTGATTTCTAAATAGTTTCATCTAGCTCTTGTAGAGTAATTATATTAGAGATATTTTTGTATTAGTAGTCTTGGATATTGTTTATAGATTTGTATTTTTCTTCTCATTCCTTCTAATGATTTCAGTTTGGAGAGTTGGGCTTTGTCTGTTCTTGTAATGTGTTTGTACTTCTTTTTATATTAGTTCTAGTTCTATAATAATTTCATTTGTTTTGTATATGTTATGGAATAAAACTGGATCTGTATGTCTTTTTAGTATGCTATTGATCATAAAAATAATATTGTTATTAAAATTATTATATCTTTATTAATGTATTTATTTATTATGCTTTGGTGAGTAAGATTGTTTTCTAGTTTTTTGGCCTAATATATTGTCTTTTGCTGAATTTTTAGTTATATAATTAGTATCTCCTTGTTAGTGGATATCAGGTTGTCTAATGTGATGTAATAAATGCAACTTTATGAAAGCTATGGCAATTTAATAAAAATGATTAGGTTGTTAATCCCAATTGGTAGATTGGGTGTTCAAATCCTATCGATACCAAAAATTTGGATAATTATCTAAATAATATTGGTATTATAACAACTGTTACTAATGATTGAGTTAGAATACTTGTAATGATAGTTGTATCAGTATGATTGGTAGATCATAAAACATCTGTGCAATATTGAAGTTATACAGAGAAATGCAAACTGACAACTTGTTGGTGTAAATACTAAATAAGTTCTTGTAATTATGTAAATCTATTGAAATTAGATAACAAGAAATTCATTTAGAAAGATCTGAATAGAGAGATAGTTGGATCTTCAATAGCATTACTATAAAGACTAATTTGAGAAAACAAATACTTAGATTTTAATAACTGAATAGACAAGAACCTTCAGGTTGAGAGTCTTGAAGATACTACCAACCAAGCCACTTGAACAAACTGAAGGAAAAGGATATTGAGCTAATCTAGTATATTGATAGACTGATTATAGTCCTACATGGACCATCTGGATTAGGAATCTGATGAAATTCAGGAGTATACTAAAATACCAAAATCAATTGTAAAAATAGGTATAAAAAGCTCTAAGGATTTATCTCAAGGATAAATTAGTTCTAAGTTTGAGATAATGATCTAAGTATCTGAATATAATCCAATAAATTAAATATAGATTACAGGTTCAGAGGATTTAAAGTGAAACACCCAAGCAGGAGTGTTAGATATAACAATTGGTAGAGAACCTTTGGGTGGATTTCTTAAATAGGTAATATAGAAAACTTACAAGTGTAACCAATTGTATGCTCTCCTGTAGTGGTTTATTAAACTACAATACCAATAAGTGATTAATAAAAATCAAATGACCAAAGAGATCACCTTAACATCAAAAAAAAAAAAAATACAACTTTATACTATTATTCTATAAAACTGTTTAAAATTATTTATATAATATTTTAAGAGTGTGTAATTTGTTGTTACATGTTCTTATTTTCTATCTACCTTTCTGCATCCAAAATACCATTTCTAATTACAAATGTAAATTATTGCACTTATTACATTTTGTGCATTTTTCACATGATCAGTCACAATATTTCAACTACTTACCAAAAAAATAGCATGTCTACAGGCACATACCAAAATTAATGTACCTATTATAACTAAAACCTGTCACATGTTAATATACTAACCCTAAAATTAGAGTATGTGCAATTTATATGATCTGGTATGTGCCCGTAGACGCTGGAAAGTCTACGGACACATACCAATCACCGATCTTAGTTTAGGGTACGTGTGATTTCACGTGACTTGTACATGTCCGTAGACTTTTCCCGTAGACGCACCACCAAAAAAATCACAGACACGTGATGCAAACCTATGAGATTACAAGATCAAGTGTAACGCTGCATGATCAGGAAAAATCGAAACAACCTAAAAATCGCCATAACTTGAAAATTCCATAGAAAACCACCTTTAGTCACTAACCAAAAAAAATAATGCTAACCTTAATCTTACCGAATTAGGGATTTTGATCGTTATCACGTGCACGTGAATTTTTGGTGGTTACGCTGGGGAGATCCGATATTTCGGTCTCACAATATATTTGCGCTTACATATATATAGTATTTAATCATATATGTTGAAAACGGGCGAAACGGCGAGTCAGTTGCTCCACGATCCAAATTCTCGTGTAACCTATGGTTGGCCTAGTCGGAAAGAGGCGTTTAGATTTGGTCGATGGTTTGGGGCCGTAGGTAAGTATTTCTTCTGCTATGTCTCTGGTTTTCCTTCTCTTGAACTTTCTACTAACTTTATTCTCAATTACCTCACTACTTCGGGTAATTGAACAACACGTACAACCTCAACTGTCCTCAATTCTTCGGGATAATTGGACGGCTGATCCTGGTACTTTAGGATACAACAGCTGGACGGAAATGTAACAGTACTACGGGTTAGAACAGATAATTGCAAGAATCGGGTTTTTATGGTCAGGGACTTAGCGATTAGTTAATGTAGCAAAGGAGACGTTTACGTATTTATTATTATGTAAGGGGGTCAGATATTATTTTAATAAAGCAAAGTTCTCATCTTTTTTTCCCTAGAGTCTTCACGGCCTTTATTTATCTTAAAATTCTTTATTTACATTTGACATTCTACGTCTGCTACGACTGCTAATTCTACTACTTCGTTCCAAACTCCTAATTACCCGACATGGCCTTCGTGTTCTACGTAGCGTAGTAGCCGAAATAGCCGAAATAGCCTGAGTGGGCCGGGTTACCCTAATTTGTAGTCACGTGCCACGTGACTTCTCCGGATAACAATGTATAAAATAAATTACTAATTTACACAACAGGTGCGGTAGAACCTCTGAAGCATTGGAACATGTTATACTGAACTGAACAATAAGTTATTTTCGTATTCGATTTTAAATTGAACATACCGATACAGTCGAACGTATCATAACTTTTTTGTACGTCGTAACTTAACTTTTAATATACCATAAATTTTACATATAATTTATATATGGAATATCTAACTGCATATAATGATACGCACAAAATATTTGTTTAACAGTATTAATTGATTAAATAATTTACTAAAAGCTATAACGATTTCTTTCTTGTTCGATACTTCACATGTACCTTATTATTTAATCACTTATTATATTATGTCAAATAAAAAAAACTTTCCGAATAATCTATACGCAGAATTATTGATTAGTAATACTACTAACAATGACAAAGATCAAGTTGGTAATGTTTCTAAACAAGCAGATATCTCATTACATGATTCACAGGATTTTCTTAATAGAATTATCGACGAATTATGTGATCTATATAATAAAGAAGTTATGAAAGGGAATCCTATAAGCTCGATTATTTACTCAATAGATCAGCATTTTACAAATGATCGGCAAAACCCAGAAGAAATAATCAAATTATGTTTAAATAACCAAACAAACCCTATAATTCAAACAAATTCTATAATTCAAAATATTCTTGCATATTGCTATCATTATGTAAAATGGGATAAAACTGATAATAATAAAGCATTTATTCATTATCAAAAATCAGCAGAGATGGGGAATTCTATTGGAATGAATGGTCTTGGTTTTTGTTATGAACATGGCATTGGAGTTGAAAAAGACAACAATAAAGCATTTATATACTATCAAAAATCAGCAGATATGGAAGGTTCTTATGGAATTAATTCCCTTGGTGATTGTTATCGTATTGGAGTTGGAATTGAAAAGGATAAGCATAAAGCATTCATTTATTATCAAAAATCTTCCAATATGGGTAATTCTAGCGGAATGAACAGTCTTGGATATTCTTATCAAAAAGGAATTGGAGTTGAAAAGAATGAGCATAAAGCATTTATTCATTATCAAAAATCAGCAGAGATGAGGAATTCTAGTGGAATAAATAATCTTGGTTTTTGTTATGTACATGGAATTGGAGTTGAAGAAGACAATAATAAAGCATTTATCTACTATCACAAATCAGCAAATATGAAAGATTCTTATGGAATTAATTCCCTTGGTGATTGTTATCGAACTGGAATTGGAATTAAAAAGGATGAGCATAAAGCATTCATTTATTATCAAAAATCTGCTGATATGGGTAATTCTAATGGAATGGACAGCCTT